CTACCATCATATTTGGAGCAAGATTCAAATTCTTGAAAGTGGGCCCCAGGTCTAGAAGATGCAGCCCTGGCTACCTCTCCACGTGTCCTCCACCTGCTCACTGTTCCTGAGCACCACAGCCTCCTTTGTTTCCAAAATACTCCAAACCACCAGGCCTCAGCCTCTACAGCTGTTATTTCTCTGTGTAGAACAAACCTCACCCCAACAGCCCTACTTGTCCTCACTCTAGCCTCTGTTCAAATGCACCCTCAAAACAAGCCTCTCCTGAACCCCGTCTAAAAATACTCTCCCCCATCCCTTTCTCTCCCTTTGTCCTACTCAGTTTCTTCACAGCTTTTTCTCTATATAACTTTAAATTTTATATCACTTAATTAACATGTGAATGTAAGGACCATGACCGCAGTGACTTTATTTGATCATGAATCTCCAGGACAATATCCAGAACATAGTAGGTGTGTATTAAACTTGTAGTGATACATTTTGAAATATTTTGTTGTAAGTAGTAAGATGGGATGTATGTAAAAATAAGTTCTTCTTGGGCAGGACTTATAACCATAACAATGTTAGAAATACACTGGGATTGATATAATTTGGGAGGTTTAAGACAAGGAATTGTTTGGGACTGATGTGAAAGGATTTGGGGCTCTCAGATGAACACAGGATAATCATCTCATGCCATACTGGAATTTGGAGCCTGACACTTCCCTCACTTCTCCATATAGAAGGTGGGCCCTTGGCAGAAAAGAAGATGCAAAGATGCTGAAAGAAGGCCTTGACTACTTTACAGTGAGCCTTTTTCATGAGAGAGGCTGACTGCACCTGGGGGAAGGGGCTCCTCAGAGTTACACACTTGCCGAGGATAAAACATGTCTATGGATGGAGGATTCGGCTCAGATATGACCCAGAGCCAGGCTGTGAGGTGGAGATGCACAGGTCTCGTTGGCTGCCAGCCTCTGGAGGCTGAGGACTCTGCTCGATGGAATCTGACGCTCACCAGTGTTTGTGCACATCAACCAAAGAAAACATGCTCAGCTCCAACTGTCAGCATTAAGCAGAAATAAGGAAAAAGAGAATAAATGAAGCAGTGACTATCCTGTCTTCGATCTTCCAGGGTAAATTATGAACTCGACACGAAAGTCTTTAACTATGTTATCCACTTGAAACCAGGCTCCATTTCTTTTTTTCAGGGGAAGCACGTTGACCTCATTTTCCTTCTGTGTCTTCATTGTTGCGCTGTTCTTTCTTCTGTGAAATAAGACTCGGTCCCATTTGCTGGCAGTTCTCCCAATCAAACCTCAGCTGGAAAGAGGCCTCAGCTTTGGTTGTCTGTGAATTACTGTCAGTTCCCTTTTTAACAGTCTTGTCATGTCTGGGAGAAAAACGTATTTCGAATTTTTATGTCAAGAAGCAATAACTGTTCTCTGCCCTCACTCATGACAAAAGCCACAGGAAGTTCTTCCCACAAGTTTTGCCAGATTTACCTGTGTTATTCACCCTGTGATACTAGAGAATGTTTCCTGAAAAAAAGAAAACCTTTCACAAGGGGATTATATAGGACAATATCTCTCCTCATGACTTTTTCCACAGACCAATAAAATATGTGCTTTCTTCACAGTGTATCCTGGTTTTAATGGAATCTAAACTTTTTGGAAGTTTTTCCCTTTGTTATATAGTTTTTCATTGTCAAAGAATGGTGTGAACAGATCAAAGACCTACAGGAGCAAATCTACATTCGGGACCACTCCCACTGGCTGTCTGATAGGGACAGGGACAAAGCACTCAGGTGGCAGAACTTGGTGGCACCAGGTCGTGGGTGATTCTGGGCCAGAATTCACCTGGCTCTTTCATCAACAGGTCATTTTCCAATGTCTTAGTCCCATAAGCAAAAGCTCACACACCTCCTGCATGGGAACATAATGGACACCCACAGAGAAATACTTGCTATCAAGTGTTAGCTTTGCTCAGAGGGAAAACAAAACCTGTGGACCCTTCATTGAATAAACAAAGTCCATGACCTGCTTTTACATTTTACCAGATTAACAAAGAGTCATCTCCCCAAATTTCCATGAGAAACAAGGTCTTTTCTAGAAAAATTTAAACAGAGAGACTATAGTTAGTACTCACTTCCAGCACTTGTACTTTTATAAAGCAGATGGTATGCGCTGAGTTCATCTTTTAGCTGATTACTGCTGAGTCTTTCTACAATTACATAAAAAGGACTCTGACCACTGTCTGTTTATGCAATGTACTTTTAATTGATTGTGCCAACTTGAGATGTTTAGGAGCTTAACTAAATTGGCTCAGCAATTCGACATTATAGGGTGTAGAGGACCCACCCTAGGGCAGCTCACAGCCTGGATGATGTAAAGAGGAAATGAGGAAGAATAGACCAAGCTTCTGTTGTTCAGAGGAGCTCTAGTCTTCGCCTTCAGCTCTGACATCCTCTCCTGGCTTCTAGCACAGACTGTCTTCTGCCATGGATCCTTCAACTTTCTGTCATAGATGCTTCGGCTTTCTGGTGTAGATTCTTCAGCCTTCTGGCTTAGACTCATCCACCTCCTGATATGGACTTGCAATGATGCTGCAGTGAGCTCCAGACCCAGGACTGAAACCTTCAGTCCTCAGTGCGTAGCCAGACCCTCTGTGCGCTTCCTCAGCCAACTCTGGGTTGGATGAGTGGCCAACTCTGGTTGGATGAGTGGATGGGTGGCCATCACAAGCCAATGTTGGAAACTCTTTTCTTTGGTTTTTTTTTTGGGGGGTTTTTTGGTTTTGGCTTTGGTTTTTTTTTGAGGTTAAGTAAGAAAATTATTGGAGAATAGGAATGGGGAATGGGAAATAGGAATAGCTCCTGAGAGACAGGAGGGATCCCAAATGGGTTGCCCCTTGTAATTTTTGACACATTTGTGTAACTTGTGCTATATCTGTTTCCCTAGTAAAACACTGACTGATACATACAAAAAGGATTATAATGACAAGTAAAATACACGATGAGCAATTTGTATCATACATTGAGTTGTTTCTTAGACCCAGATTTGCCCATCTATGCAGCCTTAATTATCAAAATTGCTATAATATCCTGAGCCAAAAAGATGACACAGTGAAGCATCTGATGTGTGCCTGAGTACAGGTGCTGTAGAAAGGACTAAAATGTTGTATTTGCCTCAAAAAGTATTTAAAAACAATTGAGTGAATTTTGTAAAGTCAGCCAGTAATTTCCTCATTTGACCAGACAAATTTCTTTCGCTTTCTGTAGCGTAATTACTTATCAAAATCTTTTAAGTTACCATCTAAAATAGTTTCAGCCAGTTTTAGCCACTTTCCCCCAAGTTCTGCTACTTTTCATTTTCAAGAAGAATTAGATTTCTTTATGATTCAACATGAGACATTTTTCCTAAAACTCATGACTAAATTTCTAGACTGGACTTTAAATAATTCTAAATAAATATAAAGTTCTGACATTAAGTTCTCCTTTCTTTAGAGAGTTCTTTTTAAGTTTTGGAAACTTGTTATATTTTAAGATGTGTGCAAGATGTAAAATCTACACAGATAATAATGATTAGAGACAGTCCCAATTTGGAATAGGTATATTTTGTTACAGATCCTTTGCTATATGTCAGTCCCTTTAACAGCCTTGACAAATGTTTAATTAATTTTTCTCTTTTTCCTCCCTTTTTCTGTAATTATTATACAAAACATTTTGACCAGTAGCTAAACTTGATGTACTGCGTAAGTATACACCTTAACAATTTTTAGTACAGGAAGTTTAGCACTTTTCTATGTATATTAAATATATTTACAAATTCTACCCTCTGAAAAACCCTATACTTTAAGTACTATTATCTCATCTTCACTTTAATGATTATAGTCTTGAAACACAGGGAAGTTAAGTAACTTACCACCAAGGTCCTGTGGCTAAGATGAGATAAAGCCAAGGGGTGAATCCAGGTAGTCTGGTACCAAAACCTGATCTCTTACTCACTTACCATGCTGACTTTCTTCAACCAAGATGAATATAAATGTTGGATCAGACATTTTCACTTACTCATTTATCATGTGGTAGAATACTACACACTAATACATAGGACCTACTGGCTTACATAGCAACATGGATGACTCTCACAGATACAAGGTTCAGTAGAAGAAGTCAGATCCAAAGGAGCACATACTCTGTAATTTTTTTATGTCAGGATTTCTCATCCTCAACTCTACCGATATCTTCAGCCAGAAATTTCCTTAATGTGTGGCACTGTCCTATGCACTGCACAATGTTGAGTAGTAGCAACCCTGACTTCCACTCATCGCCTTCCACTCACCGCCTTCCACTCACCGCCTTCCAATAGGACCCCTACTCCCCTGCTCATTGTGGCCACCACAAAGGTCCCTGTGCATTGGTAAATGTCCTCTGAGACAGAAATCAACTTCAGGTAAAAACCACAGGTTTATATGAAGACTTTTTGAAAAGCACTAGAGCCTTGAATAGTGATGAGGGAACCTATGGGAAATGTTCTAGGTCTTCATTACAGTACTGGTTTTATTTTAAATTCATCAAACTAAATGCCTAAGACATGTAAATTTTATTGCATGTAAGTCACACATACAATATTAAAAACTGGTTGGCTTAGGGACGGGAGAAAAATTGTACCTCAGGAACTCAGAAGAAGAAAACAGTCATCCTGAGGTGTGAAGGAGAAGGCTGAGGGGAGGACGGTGCTGACTGAGAAGGGCCTGCGTAGCAGAACCGGTGGCAGAGGGCGGGGCAAACAACTCACAAGAGGCAGCAAGAGCAAAAGGCACTGAAGCTTTGTTTTATTAAGAACATTTCATCAGGTACCATTTTCCTACAAATAGAACTGAGGGAAATTCAAACTGCATGTGGCTAATATCTAGGTCAATGCTGTGTTCATGAGGGGCTGTAACAATCACCGTTTGGTAATGGTGAAAATTAAGCCTTGGAAATTAAATAGAATAAAAAACCATTGGGCCTTTCAGCTCATTACCTCACTATTGCAGAATTCCCCACTGCCATCCATTCTTGCTATTTGTCCAGCCTCACTCCTTTCCAGGTGGAGGATGCTTCTACTGCATTTTTTACACGGCTCATCAAAAGAGGAATAAAACTCTCCAGGGAAGTTCCCCACTGTCTTTTCAGCCATCGTTTTCTTCCAGGCTACTAATTACTGTTAGTTGCATTATTCGTCATCATCCTTAATTGAGCATGAACAATGGCTCAATGCTGTAAAGAAAATGTTGAAGGAGAGTCATTTTACTAAAGCCAGAGGATTTGGAGCTGAGTCAAAGAGAAAGAATAATGAGAAATAGAAATTCTTCCAAGGAGAGGGAGGCCACTGCGCAGTACAGAGCTGCCCTGTGTGCATGAAGAATAGTCATTCTTTGAGTTCAGTCTGGGACAAGGCTACTGGCAGGACCTCTGGCCAGATCCACCCTCTGGAGGAGGGTGCTGTTCGTCCATATATGGGGGCTGGAGCAGGTATTAGAACCTAGAACAAGGAGGAGCTTTATACACCTTTTTGTGATACTTCATATTCTATACAGAGAACCAAAAACAGCAGTAAGCCCAGAGGCAAATCATCACTGAATTCTTTCTCTAGAATAAGTGCATATTGAGTTTTTTTCTGAGTAAATTGTTACCATTGAGATTTATTGGAATTAGTGGCAAGTCTTCACTTTTTCAAGTCTTCTGTATCAGAATAATTTTTAGCCACAGGTAATTTCTAACTCACCTATGGATAAAAGAATACCCAGTGAAGAGTGACTGAAACAGTACAGACACTGATTACCTCACTTCTCAGGAAGTCCACAGGCAAGTTGTTCATAGCTCAGCAACATCAACGCTATGCGTCCAGATGCCATCTCTTCCCATGCTTCTGCTCAGGAATCCTCAATATGTTGGTGATGCTTCCTTCATGGTTACAAATTGACTGTTCCAGCTGCAAGCATTACATCTTCAAAAGGCAATATCCAAATGCGAAGAGCAAGAGGGAAGGCAAATGCAGAGCTTTGCCTATGCAGTGCCCACTCTTTTACAAGGGCAAAACAATTTCCCCAGAAGCTGTGTGTGGTAGTACATGCTCATATCCCAGCAGTGAGAGAGGGTTATGCAGAAGAATTACAAGTTCTAGTCTTGCCTGAACAGCTAATGAGACCCTATCCCAAAACAAAAAATGAAAAGGGCTATGTATATATCTCAGTGGTAGAGACCCTAGTGCCACAAAGAAAAGTTTCCCCCAGAAATTTCTTATTTCTTTAACAAGAACTGTCCTAGTTAGTCACCAGCCAAAATGGAATGAGGTTTTTTTTGGTTACCTTAGATTAATCATGATTCATCCTGGGATTCATTGTAACTATCATAAACTCAGTAATTTTCACCAAAAATGAGGAAGAAACTGGGAAGCAATAAAATAACTTGCCCAATCCTGATTTTGTATTTATTTTCCTTGAGGAGTGTTTAGCCCACGTACTTTGATGGTATGTTCCACTGTATAAGCCTTGGTCCCAAGTTTAAATTATTAATTCAGTTAGATACAAAGTTAAGATCTAAATGAAATATACATCTAGGTTATATTCTTTAAATATTCGAGGTAGCCCCAGGGCCGTTTGTACATGTGATCCTTCATTCAACAAACACCAACTAAATGCCTTTATATGTCAAGCACTTCTTTGCATCCTGATGAACAAAACAAGGAAATTTCTTCTTTCCTGCCTCATACATTGAAATAAGAAAACAGACTTGGAGCAAGAAACAGATACTCAGTATGAGTTTGTGCTCTGTGCCACAGAGAGCGCTAAGTGCTATTTTAATTGTGGGTGGAGGAAGCCTCTTTAGAGATGGCATTTGAGTAAAAATAGAGTAGACCCTGGGTGAAAAGTGGCCAAGGGTACAAAAGCTTTGAGGGGAGACTGTCTTTGCTTGACAGTAAAGAGCTTGAGGCAGGGAAGGCAACAGGAACAAAGAGTGAAGTCAAGGGTAAAGCAAGCAGATTATGCGTGGCCTTGCAGGATGATGGAAAGACACTTTTTTCTTTTACTTTAGATGACTCAGGAAGGGATTTGGAGGAGGTCTAGGTAGATGAAGGACTTGATCTTGCTTATATCTTAAAAGAATTGTTCTCACTGCGTGGGGGGAATCAACAGTAATCAGATATGAGAAAAATCAGACAGGTGTATTAAGAGGCCACTGCAGTGACACAAGAAAGCAGTTTAGGTTAGGCTGCTGTTAGTGACAGTAGAGATCTGCATGTGGATTATGTGTGATGTGAGAATAAAAGAAGGTTTAAATGGGGCTCTTGGTTTGGAGTTTTTATTTCCTGAAATGAAATTATATCAAGGAATGAGTTTGGGGTGTGGCAACCAAGCATTTGGCTTTGGACATATTAAGCATGAAATTCTTATTAAATTTCTGAATGGAAATATTGAGTACACAGCTGCACGTATGAGCCTAGAGCTTAAATACACATATATAATATTCAAAATTATGAGATCTAATGAGATCATCAAGTGCAAGAGCTAAATAGAGGACAAGTGGTCCAAGGAGGAACCCCGTAGGACGCTGCAGTGGTGAGACACAGCCAAAAGCTGGGCAAAGGGAAATCGCTGAGACACGAGAAATTCTAGCAGAGGATGGTTTCTTATACAAACATGAAGTGATCAACTGTGAAAATGCATTGACAGATCAAAATATAAACTGAGAAGCCAAAGAGCTTGGCTTGGGGAATGGAACAAAGGAAAGTGATTACCAGTATGCACAGATTTAACACTAAGAATCTTGTTTACACTGCATTGACCATGATGTGAATCATCGTGATTTCCTATGATTATCTTCTCTCGCGGTCACTCTAGTACTTTTACAGACATTTAAATTGCTTTCAGCAATATTTTTATGCTTTCGTCTAATAAAATCTGATTTAGAAAATCTAATCAATTAGATATTTTAGGCCTTATCATTGATATTACAAATTGGCTATGGTTTTACAAAGTGATGAACCACAAATGACAAGCCCACTGATTTAATTTACAAAAATTTTACTCATCTGTTGCCTTTCAGAATCCATCTACTGCATATACCAAGGCACATTGCTCTTCCTAATAGATGACATTGAATTTCTAATGGGAACTTCTGCAATAACAGATTCATCACATCTGAAGCACGCGCCTACAGTATTTCATTTTGTCACTGGCTGCACTTTAAGCTTTGCAGTGAGGCTCACAAAAGCCATAGGATATCATTTTGCCTGAATCAAGAGCTTTACCTTCCCAAAGAAGAAAGAGAATCTCAAATCCCTGTTTAAACTGAATAATCCCTACACATCAATTTTTTCTTCCAGTATGTACTTTTTCATATTGTTTTATCTTTGCATTTCTCCTATCTTACATTTCAGCTTATTTCAAGTAACTATACATCACATAACAAAACTAAACTAATATGATATCATGATCAAAACTTAAATATATATTATAGAGACATGCTCTGGGAACCATTTGAAATAATCTTCTATTTTATGTTATCCTCTTTTTCAAGTCGGGTCTCTGTGATTTAGCTATTTTTCTTCTGCAGCTGATACAACATTTATGTGGGGGTAGACTTCTAATTTTACTTTGCTGGTGTATAAATGTGTCATTTTATACAACTAGCTGTTTTTCTTTGTTGGAACTTCTTTCTCTCTGTTTTAGCCTGGGGCTGTCCTCTTTATTTGATCAGTATAGTTTATATCATATTCTAGGCAGCACTTCTTCCCAAGAGAAAAACAGGATTTCAAATTGCTACTCATGATTCCTAAGGCAAACTGAAAGGGCGCCGCCTGAATTAATGTTTTCTTTACTGTTTTCTGTGCTTATTGGTCTTATTTCCATTAGCTGATGGATACATTTATTTTCTATCTTTTAGTATCATTCTTTCTCTACAACTGCTAATTATTGTTTGGCTTTATTATTTATGGTTGGCTGTTTGGTTAGATAGAAAAATAATCAATGTGAACATTTGATGGCAAAATATTGAATTAACTTCTCAGTAAATAAATAACAAGTAGTGTCTGTTCCTTAGGTTAGCTTCTGAGATCAATTCTTCATTTAAGAAAAGAGAGCTGGATTCTGTTTTCTATATTCTCAGTTTACAGGGATTATTTTTGCCATGAAAATACAGGATCTATTTTAAGAGTATTTGTCTAACAAAACAATGTATTAACTAGGCCTAAACTATTTCATATATATTTTCATCTCCATATTTGAAAGAAAACATGCACCATTGCAGAAAATAGTGGAATTATTCAGCTACTTCTGATAGAATATTAGTTTCCCTTACCAGCCAAAAGCAGAAGTATCTTGAAGGCATCTCATGGTAATAAATCCTCCAACAGAAATAGTTCTAATAAGAAAAACTTATATTTTCAATAAATTTGCATAGGAGCTGAAAGAGAAAGAAGTGATGTAGACATTCTTAGCGTCAGATGTGGAAAGCAGAGACAAGAGCAGGGCTGGGATTCAGACCCATCTTCACAGGACGAGCAAAACTCCCAGGCCTTGGGAGGTGGAAAATCCATGTGGAATCACTTCCAAAGTTTAGCTTTTGTTTCATACCCACTTTTAGTAATGTGCATTATTAACAAAAGTAACTAGAAATTATTCATGTTCTCATTATCTCAACTTTTGGGTATAAATCTACAATTGGAAAAAAAAGTATCCAAAGTTCCCTGTTTCCTTTATGCATGAGAATATTTTTCCCAGAATATTAACTAAGCCGTTGAAGTTAACCTCGGACTTAATTGGATAGCCATACACTGCCAGCAAACTATACCTCAGTCTTATGTTGAAATGCAGTTTGAGGAGTTACAACATGATAGCCTTATTATAACATATTCTGCAGTATGGATTTGAATATGTCTTATCTCGGGACCAAACACCACCCATTCACAGGTTAGAAGGCCAGATGGATACCTATTTCAAGAGAATCCATTTAACCCAAACACCTACATCAATCTGAAGCTTAATTTGGATGATAGATGAACTGGTCTTCACCTCTTCTCTTAATAAACCATAATTCATAACTACTCTGGGGATGTGAGTACATTTATTCTTTCTCGTTTACTTTAAAACAAAGTACATTGGTAGGGAAGCACTATTGTTTCACTGATTGTAAATTAAAATAATAAAATTAATGTCAAATGTCATTTCAGCATATACTTTGTTACCATGGTAACCCACAGGTAACTGAGTTGGTAAAACTGTAAATTACATATTCAGCTATTTAAAGACATCAATGAACTGAAGTCATTTAATCAAGCTTCTCATTGCTTTTGCTATGTAATCAAGACGACCCGATTAATGTCAAAGTCAGAAAGTCACAAGCTTCCCTCTCCTTGTTTGGCGTTTCTTCTATTGAGTTCAGCCTGCTCAGAGCTATAAGCTCTATTTTGTGAGCATATTAAGAGATTTGTTTCCTTGAGGGAATGGGGCATGGTACAAAAAGTAATTTTACTCACAAATACAAGACAGAGAAGGTCAAATTCTCCATCTACCCCTCATATGCAAACACTGTATGAGCCAAAGCAAATACGCTTCTGATAGAAAGACTCATAGAGTCTTCTGATTTTTTATACTCACTCCAACACAGCCCCTGCCAGTGCCATCTCTTCTGGACTATTCCATGGTCATTTGGACCCAAATCAGAACAGACTCCCATGGTTTGTTCCTTCCAGAGTACAGAGCACTGGGGATCTGCGTCCGTTACCCTGATCCATTGTATTCTGGGGACGACTTCTGATGCTAATCCGGGCTCTTCCTGGTGGCTGACAAGTGCCACCTCCACTACCCCAAATATCAGTCCCGGGGCTGGGGATTTAGCTCAGCGGCAAAAGCACCTGCCTGGCAAGCGCAAGGTCGTGAGTTCGGTTCCCGGTACCAGAGAAAAACCAAAATACAAAAAACAAAAAAAAAAACAAATATCAGTCCCTACACACCCAGGTGCTCCACTGAATTCCTAAAAATCCACAGTTGTCCAGCTGTCTTCGCTGACCACAAACCATACTTGATAGTGACATTCAGAGGATACAAAGCAAATGAAGGGAATTAACCTATTTTTCTTTTGAGAGCTGAGCTGTGATGACACGTGGACCCAGAGATAGAGAATTCTGTGTTTGGAAGTGTAGAAGCACAAACCCCGGAATCACGGCTTTCCTGCAAGATTTACATGAATGGTGCTTATTAATGTGATTTTAATAAGAAACAAATTGACATAAGGCCTCTCTCTCATCCCCAAGTAGCTTTGCCAGCAGATGGAGAGAGCTCTTTAGTCACTCCTGAAATACCTT